TGGCAATTTTTGTATGTTTATGTATTGTTGGTAATTTTTAATTATTCTAGTTATTTTGGAATTTAGTTTACTATACGAAGGAACGTATTATTTGGAAGCCATCATAAAAGAAAGTGATATATATTGTTTTGGACTTTATGTAAATTGTTATGATTGTAGTCAAGTAGTCAAAAGGACCAAGTTGGAAATGTTGGGCCGTCGTGCCAAGTGAGTGGAAAAATCTACTGATTGCAAACGAGAGGCGGGCCTTCCTTTTCAACCTCAGCCGCCTATTTTTTTTATTTTCATTATTATCATAAACAAACTTCTGTTTTTGAGATATTTGTTTTTGAAATAAAATTCAATTACAAAATCTAAAACGTACAATTGTGATAAATGATTGGCTATCGATTGTCTGATAAAGAAATTTAAGATTTTAAGAAGAAAAAGATGCTTTCCATAAATTTTAAAAGCGTGCAATTCATTTTCTGATAACTTTTTTTCTTTGTCTTTTTATGCATCAATTAATGGCGACTAGAGCCACAGTCGTGGATTCTACGAGGTCCAGTTACATTTCTTGGTGTCAGAAGATTTTTAGAAATTTTGTTTCCATTTTTTTTTAAAATGTAGTAATATTTTTTTTTTTTGGTCAAAAAAATTTAATATTTTCAATCGCGGAAACATATTGAATTGTTTGACCAAACTGCTTTTTGTGCCTAAACTAAATAGAAGATTCAACATTAATGGGTTTTATTTGTGTCAATAGAATCCATGGTAATTAATCGTCCTAATCTTGTATACTGGAGTATCTTATCCACTCAAAAATCTCATAAAGATGGTGAAAAAAAAAAAAAATCTCATAAAGATGTTAATATTTCTCTAAAATGACGTGGAAAAACAAATACTATCAATCTCTTATCTCTCTACAAAAAGACTGCCATTTCCACATCTTAAATTACTTTTGTTAATGTATTAAACCACTTTGATAATCCTATTTCAGACGACTCAAAATCTCTTTAATTTCTTTTGTTAATTTGCTAATTTCAGTCCACTAAATATGTGTGTTAACCCGAAAATCGAAATCGCGTGTTATTAATCTGGACCGCCCGATCATAACCAATCCCACTTTTCCC